CTGGGCAACAGAGCAAGACTCCATCTCAAAAAAAAAAAAAAAAAAAGAGGAGCCCAGGCCAGGCGAGGTGGCTCATGCCTATAATCCTAGCACTTTGGGAGGCCAAGGCAGGAAGATCACCTGAGGTCAAGAGTTCGAGACCAAGACCAGCCTGGCCAACATGGCGAAACCCCATCTCTACTAAAAATACAAAAATTAGCCAGGTTTGGTGGTGGGTGCCTGTAATCCCAGCTACTTGAGAGGCTGAGTCAGGAGAATCACTTGAAACTGGGAGGCGGAGATTGCAGTGAGCAGAGATTGCACCATTGTACTCCAGCTTGGCGACAAGAGGGAGACTCTGTCTCAACAAAAAATAAGGCCGGGTGCGGTGGCTCGCACCTGTAATCCCAGCACTTTGGGAGGCCGAGACGGGCGGATCAGGAGGTCAGGAGATCGAGACCATCCTGGCTAACATGGTGAAACCCCATCTCTACTAAAAATACAAAAATTAGCCGGGCGCGGTGGCGGGCGCCTGTAGTCCCAGCTACACGGGAGGCTGAGGCAGGAGAATGGTGTGAACCTGGGAGGCGGAGCTTGCAGTGAGTGGAGATCGTGCCACTGTACTCCTGCCTGGGCAACAGAGCGAGACTCCGTCTCAAAAAAAATAAAAATTAATTAATTAATTAAGTAATTAAAGGAGCCCAAATGTTCACCAAGAGAGACTGCTCAAATAAATAAATATTGGGGGTTGGGGGCAGAGAAACAATCACCAAAAGTACCAATATGGTCATCTTCAAAATCTACCCGTACCACTAAGTGAAAAAAAAGTGCGTAGCTGCTTATTTGTTACTAGCATGTGCATTAAATAAATTTGTGAAGACACAAGAAACTGGCGCACTGTCTTCTGGGGGAAACTGCGTGATGAGGGGACAGGCAAGGAAAAAGACTTTTTCCCTGTGCAAGCTCTTATACCTCTTAGATTTTCAATCAAGAGAATGTGTTACCTATTCAAAAAATAATCACCTTTTTTTAAAAAAAAGAGGGTGACAGAATCTCCTTGTTCAACCCTCTTAAATTCAATGAAACAGACCCCTACTGAGCACCCAGGGTGTGCCAAGCCGTTGGTGGGTGCTGTGGGTTATACCATGATGAACAGGATGCTGTCTCTGCCCAGCAGGGGCCCACTCACCCCAGGCAACCCAGGCCCCCCAGGCTGGAGGGTGGGACGGGCTGCCACAGGACTTACACAGCTTCTCTCCTGTTACGCATTTGCCCAGATCCCAGCCACCCTGGACTGGGAGCCTCAACTAGTACAGGGTGAGGGTCCATCTAGGGCCAGCCTCTGTGGGTCCTGATGACCACTGAGCAGTTAGAGCCAAACTCTTCAGGCCCACACTGCTCCTTCCCGGCAGAGTCTCAGGACCACCATGGGGGAGGTGGGAAGCTTGAGTACCTCCCTCCTGTACTTCTATGGAAAGAGTATTACACAATTGTGTCCTTTCTTCTCTTGCTTTAAGTACTCACTGCTTGTAACCAAGGCAGCAATTACTGTGAGGGTCAAAGAAATGGTAAGCCCCCCAGATGGATTTCAGTCTGGGTGGGAAGTGTGGGCAGGTCCCGACTTTGCAAATGCAGCTGAAACCCACCATCTTGGAGAGTCCCCTCCCTCTGCTGCCTGGCCCTCCCTGCGTTCTATCTCCTAACCCTGCTGCCCCTAGCCCTCTCCCAGGACCAGACGGCAGTAGCAGCAGCAATGTGCGTATCTGGACTTCTCACCATAAGCCCCAGCATTCACATCATGTGCCTGCGACTGTCCTCTGGCCCCACCAGCAAGAGATAAATACCTCCCCTGGGTTGAAGACGCACCACTGGTGTCCCCGAGACTCTAGGAGAGTAAAGGAGGCTCTTCCTGGAGGATTCACATGGTCCCAGGGTGCATGACGCCAGTGAATCACAAACTACTCCCCTACCATTGCTTTCGGTGATCCCCGTGTTATCTTGGGTGTACCCTGGGAGGGAGATGCGGCAGGGTTGTTAACTTCCAAGTACAGATGAGAAAACCAAGACTCAGGTGCTGAGGCCTGCTCATCAGGTAGCTAGAGAACAGCAGAGTTGACATCTTAATCCAGGTTTCCTAACCCCAAACCTTATACTCTCTCTTCACACTATTGTTGGAAGAGCACTGAGAGGTCATTTGGTACAACCTCGTGTTTTATAAATGGTAAACTGAGGTCAGAGAGGGAGAGGGACATCTTCAAGGTCATACAGCATGCAGCGGGACAAGAACCTGGCCCCCTGGCTCCGAGGATGCTGACTGTGTTGAACTGGAAAGTGCTTGTCCTGCCTAAGGTGTTCAAATCCATTTTTTAAAAAAACCAGTGCTTCAAAATATACCAGTAGCGTTTGTGGGAGTGGGGAACACAGAAGAAACAAGATTGGCCATGAGTTGGTAATTGTTGAAGCTAGGTATTAGGTAATGGGGATATTAATACTATCCTGTGTAAATATGTGTACGTTTTAAAATTTCCACAAAACTTTTAAAAAATTAATGTGCTGTCAAAAACAAATTAGGTACTCAAGCTATATTAAGTCCACAAGCCACTGATTAGCAAACTCTATTCTGGACATTCCTGAATATCCTGCTGGCCATATCTATACTTCCTTCCAATTCTCTCTGCATAGCGTGGGATGTGGGAGATAGGAGAGGGGGGAAGGGAGATAACTGGCTTGGTCAGGGCTTGGAAGTTGGCCATCCATTCCCAAGGGCATAGACTCTTGGGATTTGGATGGATCTCATACAGATGGATACAGGTGACACCCCTGCCCATATAGTCTACACTCCTTGTAGTCTGTCTATCCCCACCAGCACTCTACCCGTCCTCCCTGCACCTCACTGTACTTTGCTCACCTCATTTTTTGAGACAGGATCTCGCTCTGTGACCCAGGCTGGAGGGCAGTGGCATAATCAGCTCATTGCAGCCTTGGTCTCCTGGCCTCCAGTAATCCTCTCACCTCAGTCTCCTAAGTAGCTGGGACTTCAGGTGCACACTACCACACCCAGCTGATTTTTAAATTATTTGTACAAACGGGGTCCCCCTATGTGGCCCAGGCTGGTCTTGAACTCCTGGGCTCAACTGACCTCCTGCCTTGGCCTCGCATAGTGCTGGGATTATAGACATGAGTCTCCGTGCCCGGCCAGTCTTTTTGTGCACTCTATCATCTACCACCCACCATACAAAGGGAAACAAGCAAATCTGAGGTCTGATGTTCCCAGCCTGCAGAAGACGCCATATCCCATCTGCATGAGAACTGAAGCGCATGAGCAGCCTGGCAGAGCCACGGTTAATGTGAACCTGGAGAGGAGCCGTGCTGCCTTCCAGCAAGACCTCACCAGCAGGGTGTGAAGCCATGAGATCTGGGGTGGAATGGGGGTTGGAGAAAGGTCTGGGCTTTATTTTTCCTTCTTTTCTTAGGCTGATTATCATTCACCACAATCCCTTTCCTAAACCCTACTATCTTCCCAGTTTATAAAGTGCTCTCACATTTACAATATTTAACCTTCCCAACCCTGTGAGGTCAATATTATCCACATTTTATAAATGAGGAAACTGAGGGTCCTCATGATCAAGTGATTCACCTAAGATCACAGAGCTTGTGAGTGGCTGAGCCCAGGGCTGCAGACCCTAATTTTAATGTTCTGTCCTCTACCCCATATTGGGGAGGGCAGGCAGGCAGTCCCCTGTCACTGGGCTCTGCAGCTCTCCATGGAACCAGTAATAGAGAAGAAAATTGCATTGCATTTTCTAAGTAGTGAGCTGGGATGGCAGGATTTTTTTTTTTTTTTTTTTTTTTTTTTTTTTTTTGAGACAGAGTCGCACTCTTGTTGCCCAGGCTGGAGTGCAGCAGGACGATCTTGGCTCACTGCAAGCTCTGCCTCCCGGGTTCAGGAAATTCTCCTGCCTCAGCCTCCCTAGTAGCTGGGATTACAGGCACCTGCCACCACACCTGGCTAATTTTTTGTATTTTTAGTAGAGACAGGGTTTCACCATGTTGGCCAGGTTGGTCTCGCACTCCTGACCTCAGGTGATCTACCTGCCTCTGCCTCCCAAAGTGCTGGAATTACAGGCATGAGTCACCGTGCCCAGCCATGGCAAGAAATTTTGATGGGCATCTACTGAACTGCAAGTGTGTTGTACTTTCTTAACTGAGGGGCATTGTTAGAGGATTGTTAGAGGTAATGGTGTTACTTGAATGGGTCTTCTGGGGTGTTGATGTGCACGGGGGAAATTTCGATTTCCCATCACTTTGTGTGATGACCACACAGCCCCTAAATCTCACCTAAGTGTGATATAGAGAAGCTGAAAGAAGCCACTGCATTGTCCACATGAGCTAGGAACAGTGACTTTAGGTCTTACATTAAATCTTAATTCTGCCTTAACTTTGCTGTGCAACTCAGGCCAGACTTCTCCCTCTCTGGTTCTCAGAACAGCTCTGGCAGCCAAACCGAAGTTACCTCCTATGCCAGCTTGAGACTCCACTCCCTTTGCAACCTCCTGGAGAAGATAACTTAGGGAAAGACTGTCACTGCTCAGAGGAAGCATCCCAAACCCCTCACTGGTTTAGGAATTTAACACCATGGAGCAACGGCCCCAGAAGGCAAGGCAATTGTCAGGAGGAATTAAACAGGCTAGTGCTGGACCCAGCCATCCGGTCCTGGCTTACACAGAGGTTGCTTTTCATGCCTTTTCCCTCTGTTAATTTGGCTTGTTTTCCAAACATGGGTCAAACAACCCCTCTTCAGAAGTGGCAGCAGCAGAAGGAAATGTTATTAAAAATGAGTCTGTTAGTGGGAATGGTGTGTGGATGAAGTCTTTGGGAGTTTTGGCTGCCAAATAAAGACTTTATTGTCATTCCTCCTTTCCCAAGCTCCCTCCCTCTCTCCTCTCCTCTCCTCCCTCCCTCCTCCCTCCTCTCCTCCCCTCCCTCCCTAAGATCTGCCCCTCCCTCCCCCTAAGCTAACCTCCCCACCCCAATAGGATCTGGTGGAAGAAAAGTGAGGCAAACACAAGCACGCACACACCACTGGGAGATCAGATCTTCTAGCTGGCTCTCTGCTGCCACAGCTCCGCCGAAGGGAGGGGGTGGAAGAGGAGGACTAAACTCAGAGCTGAGAGGAGAGGCAGGTGTGTGCAGGTAAGCCCAGTCGGGAGATGGGCAGGAGACTCGGAAGAATCTTTCATCCAGTAAGTTTCATCTGTCCATTTACTGATCTAGTCTCTATCCTCTTACTCCTTCCTTCCTCCCACCTCTTTCTCCTCTCAAATGAGTTCAAATTTAGTCTTCCTAATTTCTTTCCTAAGCCTCTTCCTCTTCTTTTCATCACTCTATACCCCTATATTTGCTTGCTGCAAAAGTTAAGCTTTCCTGCTACAGATGTTTGTTGTAGCACAGTGAGCCACGCTGCACAAAGTGTCTCTACAGATCAGGTGTTTCCATAGAAACTGGACTCCAGCACCCATTTCTTTGCACCTTTTGTGTATTGTCACACACTGTGGAAGTCACACACATCACACGGAGGCTGCACTTTCACTACCACCAGCCCACATGGCCATACAAAATGAAGACATCCTGTCCATTCACCTCTGCCCTCTGCATCTGACATGCAGAGCTAGACCACATCGTCACCAGATAGCAGCGGACACACACACACAGGCACACATGTTCCCCGCATCTTGTCTCTCGCCCTTTCACACACCTCCCCAGCTGTGAGAACAACGGCAAAGTACGTCTTCCCGTCGAGATGGCAGAGCCAGAAGAAAATTTTGCATCCCAAGTCCAGGCTGAATAGGGAGGAGATAAACAAGAGTGGGAGCTGGAAGGGTTTCTTCATTATTTAGGGCTTGACTGGGTAGGAGGGAGAGAAAAGTGGCTTTTTCCAACCTGCACAGGGTCTTCTCAGCAGCTTTGAATTTCTGTCTCACTGGTCCAAACCACTTGGCTTTTGGAAAGAAAGGAAAGCAACCCAGTTCTCAATCCTTGCAGGTCCTAATTCCCAGCTCTGCGGACAGTTCATTTTTTATTTTTTATTTTTCCTGCAGGCAGCCAGAAAAATATTTTTCTTTAAAGCCATTCTGAAATTATTCCAACCATTCAGGTTGGCAAAAGGTCCTGTGGCAGAGGAGAAAAAAGAACAAAAAGGCGGCAGTTCCTTAAGCAGTTGGGGAGGGGAAAACTGAAGGGTGGCCCCTCTCCTGCTCCCCTGCCCATTTCTCTCCATTAATAGAGAGGGGCTGTCCCAAGGCAGGCAGGGTAGAGGGAGATCAGGGTCCCACACACAGCTGATCTTCACAATCACCTAAGGGCAGGAGAGGGAGGAGTGTGGAAGGCTTACTGAAAATACAGATGTCGGCTCTCACTACAGATCTACTGAATCAAGACCCAGGAGTCGTGTTTTAATACTTCAGGAGATTCTGATGGTCCACCAGGGCTTGAGAATCAGGGGCCTGAGAGAGAGCTTTGCTGTCATTTTTAAGCTCAAGACTCTGGCAGTGTTAGCTGGGCAGAAAGACTGTGTCCTGGAAAAGGAGCTCCAGAGTGTCCCAAATAGGCCATCCCTTTTTTTGGGGAGTGGGAGTAAACAGGGTAGAGCTGTCTCCCTCTCTCCTCCTTGCAAGCACAAGCAGCCATATATACCACAGAGGAACATTCTGGTCAGAAAGTTCCCCCAAGATGGCTCCACAGAGCTTCTGTTTCCCCTCACCTGCTCATCTGCCTGCCCCAGGACCCCAGGAGCACGTGCTGGGCTCTTCCCCTGACCCTTCTAGGCCCTGCTCCTCCTGCCCAGCAGCCGCCTGTCTGGGCTCTCACAGAGGGTGGGCTGAACACTTTCTTCATTCCCCTCCACCTCCCTAGGGGGCAACCCCATTTATCAGGCATGTGAGTGAAGCATTTCAAGGCTGGAAGGGGCAAAAAGCTGGGTGCAAAAGGCTGGGAGAAGTCACGAATCACAGTGGAACTCCACGGCCTGCTGAGGAAGGCAGACTTGCACCTTCTCTGGCCAGTGTCCCCTCACCTGTTGCAGAACACATGGGTGAGAAGGTAGTGAATGACAGGAACTCTCATTTACTGCTGGTGGGAAGGCAAAATAATAAAGCCATTTTGAAAGACAAAAAAAAAAAAAGACAAAAAAAAAAGACAAAAAAAAAAAAAAAAAAAGACAGAACAAGCTTTCCCTAGGTGGCTGGGGGCTTCCAGAGTCTCCTCAATTAGTGTTTCTGAGACCCAAGTGTGATCTCACAAAGCCACAAAGGGGAGGAAGTTGCTCTGTGTGGAAGAGCTGGTATCCCACCCACAAGGATCCCTGCCTTTGAGCAGTGCATGGGGGCTGCCCTCTAGCCAGGCTGGAGGAAAAGAGACCCCATTGCTTTGAAATAATATCAACAAAACCTTAACATTCACAGAACACTCACTTTGCGTGTATTGACTCATTTAACTCTCAAAACAGAAAAGAATGTGTTAATATGCCCATTTTACAGAGGAGAAAAGCAATTGCTCTGCCTAAGCCTACCCAGCTAAGCATCTGAAGAACTGCAGGGTTGGGTCTCAGATCTATAACCACTCAAGGCATCAGACACACTCTTCTAGGCTTTCTTCAAGGGTTGGAGATGCTGGGGGAGCGGGGCAGAGAAGGATATGGTGGGGAGCGGGGCAGAGAAGGATATGGTGGGTGGCAGGGGCAGAGAAGGATATGGTAGGAGGCAGGCTGTCAGAGAAAAGTCGTCTCACCCTGGTTTCTTCCCCACCACTCAGAATGGAAAACTTGCTCTTCTAGACTAGTGGCCTGAGGCCAGAAAATCTTCATTCTGTTTACACTTTGCCTTGTGGTAGACACTGGGGAGACAGATGGTCTCTCCATAATAGTGTTATTTTTATTTTTAGCACTTTTTGATCTGTAGTGCATTTTAAAGCTGCTAACCACACTTGCTTCTGACAACTGGGTAAGGAATATAGGTATAGGGAAGATTCTGTTATTCCCATTTTACAGATAAGAAAACTGAGGCCCAGAACAGGGTTCATATCACTAGGTATGGTGGAGGGGTGAGTATCTTCTCTTCTAACTAGTATGCACCTAGCAGACTCTCCTCCCACTGCCCCAGGCAAGCTCATCCTTCTATCATTTCACCTTCCTAGAAAGGGGCATCTTGAAGTCATCACGCCCCCATAAGGCTCCTTTGTTATCTCAGGACCCTATCAGCCCTAATGGGGGCCTTGAAAGGGCTTCAGGCTCACTCCTCTGCTAACTGTGCTCATAAATTGGCAAAGACTGCTTGATTCTCTCTGCTTTCAACCCCCTTCTGGACTACAGGAAGAGATAAAGAGAGCAGGGTGGCTTTCGACATCTAGGTTGAGAACAGAAAGAAGGCAAAAAAGAGAGAGGGATGTTCCAATGTTCACAGGCACAGTGCTGGGTCAGAAGCAGCCCCATTCTCTACCGCAGGGTAGCTCTGGGTCAAGGCATGGAGGCTTAGGGGTGACCAATTAGACAGGAGATCTGACAAGTAAAAAGAATGCCTGCTCAGGGTGCAGAGTAACCCTGCTGCTAACCCTGCCTAGCCCTGGGAGACAAACCCAACCTCATTCCCCAGCCCAACCTCAACCTCTCCATACAAAGCCAATTAGCCTTAAATAGCTGCTCCTAATGTCTTGACCAATCCATCAGGACTTCCACCCATCCCTGCTCTGAGCAGAAACATCCCACCAGTCCTGGGTTTTAACAGTAAATTAATGAGAGAGATAGGGAAGGGGGCTATCTCACTTTAAAAATCAAGGAGTCCATGGGGCGCTGTGGCTCACGCCTGTAATCCCAGCATTTTGGGAGACTGAGGTGAGCAGATCACTTGAGCTCAGGGGTTTGAGACCAGCCTGGGCAACATGGTAAAACCCCATCTCTACAAAAAAGACAAAAATTAGCCCGGTGTGGTAGCGCATGCCTGTAGTCCCAGCTACTCAGGACGCTGTGAAGGGAGGATCACCTGAGCCCAGAGAGGTTAAGGCTGCAGTGAGCTGTGATTGCACTACTGCACTCTCTAGCCTGATCAACAAAGTGAGACCCTGTATCACAAAAAAAAAAAAAAAAAAAAATCAAAGCGTCTCTCTGGATAATCTGCTCTTTATAAACAAATAAATAAGTAAGTAAGCCTCTGCCACTTGCAGATATTTTGCACTTTATAACATGCCTTCAAATGCATGATCTCGTTTGATCCTCACACAGATGAGAAGCCTGGGTTGGAGAGTCAGAGCCAGGAGTCAAGCCCAGATCCACAATAATTGGAATTGAAATTAGAATTTAAAACTCTCTTAGGGGCTGGGCACAGTGGCTCACACCTGTAATCCCAGCAATTTGAAAGGCCGAGGTGGGAGGATCACTTGAGCTTAGGAGTTCAAGACCAGCCTGGGCAAATAGTGAGACCCCCATCTCATTTTTGTTTAAAGTGAAAAAAGAAAAAAAAGAAATTAAGATTCTCTTAGGAAACGTTCTCAAACGTGGAGAGTGAGTGTTGGGTTGGGCAAAGCATAGCTTTTCTCTTCCGTTAAACAGCAGCTTTTCCAGAACCGATGGTGGAGAGCAGAACTGCATGCAGTTGGCTGTTGTAGGTGGTCAACAAACCTTCACTGATTGAGCAATGAATAGAGCCCAGTAGAAAGCTGTGGGTGGAGAGGTGCACTTGCGAAAGCATAAGAAAAATTTAAAAACACACATGGACCCATCCTAAGGAATCTTATGATTGGACAGAATTTTCTAGAAGGCAGGAGCATAGAGTGAGGCTCTGAGGCTTTGTAGGAGGGACTATGACTACCCATGGAGTCCAGGTACCCTCAGTCTGTCACATGGATTCTGGTTTTAGAGACCTAGGACATCACGGAGCCCTGCCAGAGAGAATGGCTGTGCTGTCAGCTGTGACAACTTCTCATCCTGCCTCACGGCAAAGCTCCAGCAGGAAGAGGCATCACCCCATGAGAAAAGCCTTAGAAATGAACGCTATTTCCTTAAGAGAGAAGCATCCCTGCACTTGGAATGGTTCTGATTCAGCCCTGGGGCTGAGGGAAGGGGAGGGGAGCAGGTTCAGCTTCCCCACAAAACTTGCTCGTGGGAGCGTTTCCCGGGGAACCTCCTATTGGCTCTGGGATCGGCTTGGGTAGGCCCAGAGGTTTGGAATGTAAACAGGTCAGAGGACTAGTGAAAAGATAAGTGCCCAAAGGGTCTGGTGCTGCACACGGGGATGAGGAAGGCCTGTGTTTACTGTGGATGAGAAGGCATGCGTGGTTAGCCTGCTGGGTGGAGCTATGAGTGACCTGCCTGTTCCTCTCACCCCTGACGATGAAGACCAGGGCTGTCCTGGCACTGAGCCAAGGAAACCCCCCGCTCCCCCCCACCCCAGCACAGGTCACAGCCACGATGCCTCACTGCTTTTGCTGGAAGCCCTGGGCAAATTTGTGCCCAGTCCCTGGCATATGCTTTCAGTGACAAAGGCAATGAAGGGATAAAGGAAAACCCCCGCCAGTGCTGGGAGCCTCCTTGGGACAGGGTTTCTCATAGTATGAAAGATTTCTTGCTCATTTCTAGGCTTCTGGGAGATTAGAAAATAATTTTTTTTAATCAGGGTCACAAAAATTGAGGCTTTTAGAAATGTTTGTTTTAGAATACTAATGCTTTAACCACCCCCTTAATTTATATGCAAGATGACTGTTCTGTTTTCCAGAAAATAACAGAACTTACACAATGTTAATTCATAGTTCACCAATTACAAGTGAAGCGGGGTTCAGCCAACAAGACTCAAGCTTCAAGTTTTGCAATTAATGCCTTCTCTTTTTAATCCTTGCAATGTATCTCTGAGAATGTTACATCCTTAACAGATTAAGCCAAAAACTTAACTGCAAGATCCTTTGTGATAGGAGGCCAGGGAAAATGGCCTTCCAGACCCCCATGGAGAGGCCTGCCTTGGAAGAGACCACCTTAGAGGGAGGTGGAGAAGCAACAGAGGCTGAAGGACAGTCTCTGCCCTCCTTCCCTCCTGCCTTCCTTTTTTCCTTCCGATACTCAGTGTACTGCATAAGGGCTCACATACGCACACAGAGGATAAGTGAGTGAGTTTGCTTATGTGATGGAACCTGGACAGGTGTGTGTGTGAGAGTGTGCAGACTGGGGGGTCAAGGGTGTGTGTGTGTGTGTCCATGCGCATAACCTGCGGTGAGACACCCTCCACCCATCCATGGCTAAGCTCTTCTCTTTCCAGTTTCTTGTCACATTCAGCTTCTGAGCATCTGTCCTAGAATTTAGCAGCTGTGAGTGGCTTCTGTTGTCTTCCTTTGATCAAAGCCAGCAAGGAGCCAGGCACTGGGTCAAGCAAGAAAAGAGTCTAAGCTGACATGGGTTCAGAGGGAAGGCAGGAGAGGCAGAGTGTCTGAATCAGCACAGTGATCACAGGGTCCAGACGCAAGCTGGAGACATACTCTAGCCCACCCTATCTCAGAGAAGCTTGCATCCCCCGTATGTCCAGACCTCGAAGCAGTGGAAGGGGCACCCCAATTCTGAGGAAGAGGCAAGGAGGGCCAGTTGAAGCAATGTGAGAATGGGGATCCTGGCTGGGGGTGTCATAGGAATGATAGCCTTGGAGAGGGGAAGGTATAGGGCATCCCCTCCAGGGACCCTTCCTAGCCTAGGCCAGGGGGATGCCCGTGGGAGCTGCCTATTTCTGTCTGCAGCCATGAGTCTGTTGTTATTTCCCCAGTTTCAGTTCAACTCAAACCACGTGGCCTTATCTGGAGGGTCATCGGGGCCAATGGGAAGGAGGGCAACACCAAAACATCCTTCAGCTCCATATTTCAATGTCACTGAGGCTAGTGGGAGGTTCTTCTTGATATCCCACCTCAATACCACCAACTCCAAAGGATATGGGAGAAGCAATATCTGATCAAAAGAAAGGAAAGTGTTTTCTCCACATCTTTCAATCCCTTCCCTGTTTACTTTCCTGGGAGCCTCCACATCTGGGGAGACATTCTTGGCATATTTCCCAATGGCAAAGACGAGTGTTCTCTGAGCCAAGTGCAGGGAGTGGGGAGAGGGGTGAGGAGGCCCAGAGCATCTGTGAGCCAGGGTGGATGCAAAGGTGTTGGCAGCACTTCCCTCCCTTCCCAAGATCCCACTAGCTCTCCTCTGGAAGGGAGGAGGCCTTGGTTCTTGTCCAAGGCCTAGGTTCTTGGGTCTGCTGTTAAATAGCATCCTGGCCTTGGCAAGCCACTTCTTCCCTCTAGTCCTCAATTTTGTAAACGGTGGGGTCTGGAGTTGATTGGTGGATGGAGCAGTTGAGGCTGAGCCAGAACCACATCTCCAGAATCCCGCCTGGCGTCTTCAGCAAGCTGGAGAACCTGCTGCTCCTGGATCTCCAGCACAACAGGCTGAGTTGATTGGTGGATTTCAAGCCATTTTTAGCAAAGAAACATGTCCCCCTCCCTCCCACACCAAATGAATGCTTTGGGTAAACCTCATTATATATAATAGGTTTTTTAAAAAGAGAGCTGCTGAGGTTGACACAGGGGTGGGTTGAGGGTACCCCAGGCCCATCTCCTCAGTCTCCTCCCCACAGGGGTGCTCCACAGAAATGAAGGCAGAGTTGGAAAACCACTATGTTATGGGATCTTTAAGGACTTTTCTGGATTTAACCAGGACTATGGTTCATAGTCCTAACTGTGGACTATGGTTCATACATCCTAACATCCCTCTCATGAAGACACTGATGATTTTCTCAGCCTGCGAATGGGAGGACTGAGGGCCAGAGTGGTTAAGGATCTTCTCTGACAAGCCCCAGGACTCCTGACTCCAAGTCCAGTTTCCTTCCTTCCTTCCTTCCTTCCTTCCTTTCCCTCCTTCCTTCCTTCCTTCCTTCCTTCCTTCCTTCCTTCCTTCCTTCCTTCCTTTCTTTCTTTCCCTTCCTTCCTTCCTTCTCTTTCTTTCTTTCTTTCTTCCTTCCTTTCTTTCTCTCTTTCTTTCTTTCTTTCTTTCTTTCTTTCTTTCTTTCTTTCTTTCTTCCTCTCTTCCTTCTTCTTTCTTCTTCCTTTCCTTTCCTTTCTTTCTTTCTTTCTTTCTTTCTTTCTTTCTTTCTTTCTTTCTTTCTTTCTTTCTTTCTTTCTTTCTGTCTGTCTGTCTGTCTGTCTCTCTGTCTGTCTTACTTACAGAGTTTCGCTCTTGTTGCCCAGGCTGGAGTGCATTGGTGCAATCTCGGCTCACCGCAACCTCCTCCCGGGTTCAAGAGATTCTCCTGCCTCAGCCTCCCAAGTAGCTGGGATTACAGGTGTCCACCACCACACCCTGCTAATTTTTTGTATTTAGTAGAGATGGGGTTTCTCCATGTTGGTCAGGCTGATCTTGAACTCCTGACCTCAAGTGATCCACCTGCCTTGGTCTCTCTCCCAAAGTGCTGGGATTACAGGTGTGTATACCACCACCCAAGCCCCAGCCTGGGCCCAATGTGCTTTTTTTTTTTTTTTTTCTTTTTTTTTTGAGACAGAGTCTCACTCTGTCGCCCAGGCTAGAGTGCAGCAGCGTGATCTCAGCTCATTGCAAGCTCCTCCTTCCGTGCTCACGCCATTCTCCTGCCTCAGCCTCCAGGGTAGCTGGGACTACAGGAGCCCTCCACCACACCCAGCTAATTTTTTGTATTTTTAGTAGAGATGGGGTTTCACCATGTTAGCCAGGATGGTCTCGATCTCCTGAACTCGTGATCTGCCCACCTCGGCCTCCCAAAGTGCTGGGATTACAGGCGTGAGCCACCGCGCCCGGCCCCCAGTGTGCTTTCTACCAGCATGCCCCCTGCCCTCTTCAAAGCAGGCTCAACACATCAAGTGGCTAAGCCAATGGCCAAAGAATCCAGAGCCTCAAACCCTTGTTACTCCCTCACCTGCTGGGTACAGGCAAACAAGGAGATGCTTCTACAGCTCCCCAAGCTCTGCCTATCTTCCCTGGAGGTCTAGTTCTGCCCAATTCTGGCTTCAAAAACATGACATCTAGTTACTGAGGGCCCAAGGCTAATGACCTCCTGTGTCTTCTCCCTGCAGGTGCATCACCTAGATCATGAGGTCACCCCTCTGCTGGCTCCTCCCACTTCTCATCTTGGCCTCGGTGGCCCAAGGCCAGTCAACAAGACGACCAAGACCCGGGACTGGGCCCGGGCGCAGACCCAGGCCCAGGCCCAGGCCCACACCCAGCTTTCCTCAGCCTCATGAACCAGCAGAGCCAACAGACCTGCCTCCTCCCCTCCCTCCAGGCCCTCCATCTGTCTTCCCTGACTGTCCCCGCGAATGCTACTGCCCCCCTGATTTCCCATCTGCCCTCTACTGTGATAGCCGCAACCTGCGAAAGGTCCCTGTCATCCCGCCCCGCATCCATTACCTCTATCTCCAGAACAACTTCATCACTGAGCTCCCGCTGGAGTCCTTCCAGAATGCCACAGGCCTGCGATGGATTAACCTGGACAACAACCGAATCCGCAAGATAGACCAGAGGGTGCTGGAGAAATTGCCTGGCCTGGTGTTCCTCTATATGGAGAAGAACCAGTTGGAAGAGGTCCCCTCGGCCCTGCCTCGGAACCTGGAGCAGTTGAGGCTGAGCCAGAACCACATCTCCAGAATCCCGCCTGGCGTCTTCAGCAAGCTGGAGAACCTGCTGCTCCTGGATCTCCAGCACAACAGGCTGAGCGACGGCGTCTTCAAGCCCGACACTTTCCAGGGCCTCAAGAACCTCATGCAGCTCAACCTGGCCCACAATATCCTGAGAAAGATGCCGCCCAGGGTCCCTACCGCCATTCACCAGCTCTACCTGGACAGCAACAAGATTGAGACCATCCCTAATGGATATTTCAAGAGCTTTCCCAATCTTGCCTTCATTCGGCTTAACTACAACAAGCTGACAGACAGGGGACTCCCCAAGAACTCCTTTAACATCTCCAACCTGCTCGTGCTCCACCTGTCACACAACAGGATCAGCAGTGTGCCCGCCATCAACAACAGGCTGGAACACCTGTACCTCAACAACAACAGCATCGAGAGTGAGTGGGGTGGGCCAGGGCGGGGCCGAAGGCAAGGATGTTGGCTTGTGTAGCGCCTCCACCCTCTCTAGGGAGTCTCAGGGTGGGGTGGTATAAAAAGCATCCACTTTGGCACTGGGCTTCAATTTATGGCCTTGCCACTTGCTATCTGGGTGACCTTGAAAAGATATTTGACCTCTCTGGGAAGTTTCCTCATCTGTAAAGTGAGAATGGTAATAATACCTTCTTTCACGAAGGTGATATGAAGACGTAATAGTTTAATACGGAGAAAGTGCCCAGAATACCATACCTGGAGGGACATAGGTTTTCTTCCTCTATTCTTCCTCAGCCCCAGTTCCTTGGCAACTGGATCTATAGGTAGGGTAGACATGGAATATACTCCTGGACATTATACTAAAGACAGAACAGAGACATTTAAATACCTATCCTGAAATGTCCTGGGCCGGCCCTCTGCAGAAACCTGCCCCTATGGGAGGATGCTTCTTCCCAACCCTGAGCCTGGGTTTTTATTCAGGGTACACAACTGGTAAAAATGTGGCAGTCAGGAAAAGAAGGTCTGTATGCTGGTGGTTTCTGAATCTATCGGGAAGGGTGCAATGTTTAGGTGGACTTAAGGGAGAGTTTGCCTGACTGACATTTACAGGGTCCTGAACTTGGAGTATCAGTTGCAGCCCAGGAGAGGAGGTTGGAAGTTGCAGTTTTGCTTCAATCAAAAATTTCAACTCTGAGCAGAGCATCAGCAAAAAGTTTTAGAAGTGAAATAATATTTTCTGGTCCTTGAACAAAATCAGCCTACATTCACACAAGGGATGCAGCAGCAGAAGGAAAGAGGGATTCAGGGAGAAGAGAAGGACCCTTAGAATGATATTTGGGGATCCTTAGGTTCCAAGCCAAAGAATGAGAGGGAGATTGTTGGTGTCTCTACCGACACCAACAATGGGCGAATAGATCTGTTTGCTCATTTGGGATAATTTCAAGAAGTAGGGGAGGATTTTTTTTAATCTTACAAAAAAAAAAATGGGAAAAGGGGAAGACTGTCTAATTTTACCCTGGAGACAGTACACTAAAATAAAACACATTACCCCCAGGAAGCTATGAGGCCGAAATACAGACAGAAAGGATACCTTGATTAACAAATGGCTGATAGGTCTCTACCAGATTATGGAAGAACAGGTTGCTAGAAGATATCCCAGCCTTCTAAGGTTGAAGTGAGAGAACTCACACCTCATCCACATGGGCCCACCCCATCCAGCCTGTCTCCTGTGTCTTTCACAGACAGAATGGGCTAAGTGAGGGCCTAGGTCAGTGTGACAATTACGTTCTTCACAATGACCGTAATGCTGCCACTGGTACTGTCCTCAAACAGCTTGCAAAATGCCTTTGCCAACATTCTCTCCCCTGATTACAGGGCAGGCACCACTCTTACCATTTCACAGATTGAAGAACTCAGCATCAGTGTGGCTAGGCAACAGCCAGCCCCAAGCTCATAAGAGAAAACCCCTGTGTCAGGGCCCTTCTGCTACTCCAATGGTGAAGGAGAAAGAGCAGGAAAAGGAAGAGGAAGACAATTACAATGAAGATGATGCCTGCTCTTCCTCCTCCTCCATAAATAAGTGAGGCAAGGCTTAGGGAGAATAAAACAGTTCATTTAAATGCTGGCATGCCTGGTGCCACCGGCATCTAACAAGATGTGATGGAGGAAATGGAATCTCAGGCCACAGACCCTTCAGAATCAGTAGGCTCATCATGTCCCTGGGGCTCTAGAGCTCTCCCCAGACCCTCTTTCCTCTTCCTGTCATCCCTATTTCAGTTACCATCTTTTGCCCATCCTCATGTCTCACATCCAATTCAAAGGAAAACCTGCAGAGTAATTTTCACATCCATCTGCTGGCTTCAGATCTCACCTTACTCCATAGCTTCTCCACACTGTAGCCAGATTCATCTTTGTACAGCATAAACCTGAACATAGGGATCCCTAAGGACCCTTCCAGATTTAACACTCCAGGATACCATGGTTCAAGTATCCTATTAATAACATTGCTCTCATAAAGACAGTCCCATTCACTGCCGTTCCTCAGACCAGAGACCAAAAGCCTCTTAGTGAAAGACTGTTTGAAAGCCTAACTACCTTCCCAGCTTACTCTCCTTAGTACACCACATTGCACTATTACTATTCCCAGATTCGCCCACAAGCAGAATTTTGGCCTCTACAACTTCATTCAAAGATTCCTCTATCAGAACACCATCCCCCAGGTCTCCACCTGTTGTAATCCTACCTATTCTTGAAGGCCCAGTTCAAAATTTACTTCCAATTCTCTAGAGTGAACTTGTAATAACAGTTGTTGATCAATTCCAACTTAATTCAATTTACAAATGAGTAAACTGAGTCTGGAGGTCAAGGCAGCTCATCTGTGATCACACATTCCCAAAGCTAGCCAGTTTCAGAGAGAAGTCTACAGTCCTTGCTCTCGGGTGTCCTCCCCCTTCCGCTTCCTCATCTTGGCCGCCAGCCTCCACTCCCTGCTGATTTCTCGTCTTCTTTTTCCGTAGAAATCAACGGAACCCAGATTTGCCCCAACAACCTAGTGGCGTTCCATGACTTCTCCTCGGACCTGGAGAACGTTCCACACCTGCGCTACCTGCGGTTGGATGGGAACTACCTGAAGCCGCCCATCCCGCTGGACCTCATGATGTGCTTCCGCCTCCTGCAGTCCGTGGTCATCTAGGCCCTACTCTGCCACCGGATCTGCTCTGACCGCACTTGAAGGCTGGGGCCCAGGCGCCTGTGCCCGCCATTCATTTTCTCTCTCTCCCTTTCTTGCTCCCAGCTTTGCCTCCCTTATCCCACCCTCAAGGCAGGGAAAAACCATCTATTCTTCTGCAGCCTCAGGAGCGAGACTTCCAAGGGCTCGGTTTGGTCCCACCCAGTTGAAAGACACCCAGTGCACACCCAAACTCCTGGCCTTCTGTGGTTTCCCTTTGTTCCAGAAACACAGATGTGTCTAAAGACTTGGTGTCCCCTTCTCTCTCCTCCCCCACCCGCCACTCCTGGGTACATCTGGGCCGTGGACTGACATCTGATCTTAGTTCTGGCCGAGCAAGCAGCCGGGAGGTAAGGTTCAGAAAGTTCCCCTGGAGACTCCTCCATCTTGGGCAGCTCTGGCTCAAAGAGGCCGAGAAACCCAGTTCTCCTGGGCCAAGGATCCCTTCTGGCAAAGCTGCTGCTCCGCCGCGCGGTTCCCTGGCACCAGACATCGCCCCGGCCCTGCTGGCCCGGGTCTCCGGGAAGGAGGAGCGAGGGAATGACAGAGGTGGGGTGCAGGGTCAGGGCTCCCGCAGGGGCCTGCATCTGGCCAGCCAGTCACAGGATGCGCAGGGGGGCCCCTCCTGTTCCAGAGTGAACATAGCACACGCTCTCCTGGCTGGGCCTCAGGGGGAACAGCCAAGGAGAAGAATGGCCCAAGGAACTAGGAAGCAGCCATGGGAGAGGGGAGGGGTTCAAGCCCGGATGGACCCGCGTGGCGTCGATGGGTCCTGCGGCCCCCTTGCCCAACCTCGGGTTTAGGGAGCAGCGTTCAGTGTTTGTGTGGGGGCGGGGGAGGGAAGAGGCAGCAGCCCCGCCCCCGCCATCTGTTCTCCATCAGTGTGCGCGGCCCAGCCTTTTCCACCCCCGGGAGGCGGTTCCTGAGAAACAGGGAGGAAGGGGCGGAGCACCTGGACAGCTCCCAGAAGCCCCTCCACGTTTGAAAATGCGCCTCCTCCCCGGAGACAGACGCGTGGGTGCCACCTAGTGGCTGGTGGGGGTAACAGCTGGCCCCAGTCCCGCCTGGCCCTCTTCCTGGGGTGATTTTCCTCGGTGGAGGAGGCCCGTGGGGTGCCAACATGGAATAACCATGGGCCATATGCATGGTGTCGCTCTCCTCTAAGGTCTAACGGGCACAAACGTCCCCAGGCTGGGCTCATTCCCATCGTGAGTGAGCCCAGGTGAGGACACAGTCGGTTCCCGTTTGTTGTATGCCCTTTACGGGTTCCTTCTCAGCTCCCTCATCTGTAAACCGAGGAGGTGGATAAGATGCTCCTGGCCTGACGCGGTGGCTCACGCCTGTAATCCCAGCACTTTGGGAGGCCGAGGCGGGCGGATTATTGCCTGAGCTCAGGAGTTCGAAACCACCCTGGGCAACATGGTGAACACCCCACCCCCCCACCCCCCGCCCGTCTCTACTAAAATACAAAAAAAAATTAGCCAGGTGTAGTGGCGCGTACCTGTAATCCCAGCTACTGGGAGGCTGAGGCGGAAGAATCGCTTGAGTCCGGGGGGCGGAGGTTGCAGTGAGCCGGGATTGTGCCACTGCACTCCAGCTTGGGCGACAGAGTGAGACTCCGTCTCAAAAAAGGAAAAAAAAAAAAAACCAAAGATGCTCCTCTGAGGTCCCTCCGGCGCTCATGTTCCGAGTCTGGGGCTCCACACCTTAAGTCATACTCGAATGCAGGACAAGTCCTAAGTATTTGTCCCTTCCCTTGAGTAATTTATTTTCTGTATGGACTGTCCGTCCCCTAGAGGCTTCCCCACCCTCCATGCCTGGCCCAGGTGAGCGGCTTGGCAGGTCTCCAAGTGGAACCCGGTCCAGACAGGGCTACCTCGACTTCACCTTCCCCCCAACTTCCTCCAAGGGATGCTGCCCCTTCTCAGCCCCCTACGTGTGTATGTTGGTGGGAGGCACAGGGGATGGCTGTTCTAGAAATGAGTAAGACACAGTGCCCACCCCCAAGTTAGGATGAAAAATGTTCCAGAGGTTTTTAAGAAATTGGATTAAGCTGGGTCCCTGACTTCAAGAAATTCCCATTATGCTCCTTCTCACCTTTCTCTTTTGCTAATTATGGAAAATAGGGCCCATTTCATCATAGCCTCCTTCCCCCGTGCTCCACTACAATAGCCGCATTCTTTTCTAGCTGCAGCTGGTTTCTCCAGCTTAAAGTCGATGCCTTATGGTGCGTTATGGCCGAAAGCAACTTGGTGCTTCGGCCTGGATAAGAGCCCCTTCTGCATCTTATCCACAGCTTGCAACCTCAGCCCCTTTGATGAGGCCCTCAGGGGAGAGGTCATTCCCTTGATCCTGCAAACCCAGACTCATTTAGCAGCAACGCAATCACCGTCATCCCACTGCCCAATCTAGAATATGTCTGCTTTCCATTGCTCTCTGCAGCTGTAAGCCAAAGGGGATTCAAGGTAAATTGGCTTTACAGGCTCCCCTCCCCCAAACACACACACAATGGGCTGGTTTCTTTTGAGTTTAAAAAAGCCCCCTTCTCCATGCACAAGTTCATTCCCTCCATGCTGTTGTCATCGACATATACAGGTGTGTATGTAGGTGTACATGTGTATTCTGCACGTATATCTCTTCTCTCTTGAAGACCGTGTTAACTTTGTGAAATAACTTCCACATTTCAACACGCTTCACAGTAGAGGAAATAAAGTAATATGAAAAACACCCTGCTTGAACTCGACGGTGTGAAAAAGAATAACACTTTAAAGTCATCTTGCCGGCTGGGCACGGTGGCTCATGCCTGTAATCCCAGCACTTTGGGAGGCCAAAGTGGGCAGATTGCCTGAGGTCAGGAGTTCAAGACCAGGCTGGCCAACATGGTGAAACCCCTTCTCTTCTCAAAATACAAAAATTGGCCGGGTGTGGTGGCGCATGCCTGTAGTCCCAGCTACTTGGGAGGCTGAGGCAGGAGAATTGCTTGAACCCAGGAGGCAGAAGTTGCAGTAAGCCGCGATTGTACCACTGCACTCCAGCCTAGGAGACAAAAGGAGACTCCATCTCAAAATAAATAAATAAAAATATAAATAAAGTCATCTTGCCACCCACCCCCTACCGTTGAGCCACCATGCCAAGCCCCAAAGCCTCTTACTTGCTCTAACAAGATAAGTGGAGAAAAGATTATATTCTTAAGAAATTCCTATGAAAGCTATCCTAAAGCCTTTTCTTTCTTCTTTACTTCATATTTTTTAATAGAGGCAGGGTCTCATTATGTTGCGCAGGCTGGTCTGAAACTCCTGGCCTCAAGTGATCCTCCCACCTTGGCCTCCCCAAAGTGCTGGGATTACAGGTGTGAGCCACTGTGCTGAGCCCCAAAGCCTTTTCTTGAAGAATTTCTCCCAAACTCACAACCCTCATGAAAAATTAATCCTCAATTCCACAAGACTGCCCAGACACAGACCAAATATCTATATATATATTCCTAAAGTCAGACCAGAAATCTAACAACTGCATTCGAAACCCAAAGCCTCAGGTCCTATCAACCCACACATACTAAATTGTTGAGGATCTCCCAGGAGCTCTGTACCGAGGCAGACACAGAAAGACACAAAACGGTCGTCTTCCCTGCCCAAGTGAAGCTTACGGACTAACTGGGGAGATGTGGTGTGCATACAAAACAGTAAAAGAGCTGTCTCGAGGGGAGAGAACATAGAGCCAAGTCATCTGGAATGGTCTACATGCCATGCGGAAGTCCACAGAAGGGTTAGAACAGGGTGTCCTCTCTTCCAAGGGAAGGTTGGTGCAAAAGTGGGGTTCCTGACCCTCCCAGCCTACACCATCTTCTTTAGAAGAGAACTGCCAGGTGACGCCCTCACTGCTCCTGCCTGGCTACTAAACATCTACTTCGGTTCACTTCACGGATGTTCGGTGGACATCGGTCACATGCCAGGTCCCCAGCTAAGCATTCAAGGATGGGTAATATACACAGCAGCACACCCCTGAGAAACTCTACCTTGGTAAAGGGAAAGAAATCCGTGAATAGATAGCTCTGTCCTAAGTGTTTGTAATAATGCTGTGTATGAACAGCAGAGAGGAGAGGGCTTTTCCCTCTACCTGAGGAAAACCAGACAGGCTCCTACCATGTGAGCTGGCTCTTAAGGGATAAATCAGGTTTTGCCAGGGGGACAAAAGAAAAAAAGATGCCACCTGGATGGGAAACAACATGAGTACAAAGGTAGGAAGGTGTGGAGTCTACCCTGTGGGGCTTGTGTGTCTGAAAAAGAAGAGAGGGTCATGTTCCGGTCATGGCGTTATGTGGCTACAAGCCCTCAGCAGGGGATATACCCCCGTCCTCCAAAACACGGGAGGGTTCCTGAACTTCCCTGCCTCTCTCTCCCTGTCCATGAAAAGGGCAACAACAGGGTTGGCTGGCCAGACTTCTGTCCATACCACCTGCCACCTCTGATTCATCAATACGCCGTGTGCCTCTCCTAATGAGAGATTAGGATTAGGACGCCTCCCCCACCTCCTGCTTCTTTTGCCAGGCTCTCAGGGAGCTGGGCTGCCTGGAACAACAGTCTGCAGGGTTAGCCATTTCCCCCCCAGGTCGCATGTATACATCCATGGACAGCCCCTTATATTCATGAGAACAAGAGCGTGTGACCTGCAAACTTGGGAAAGCAAGAGGAGAAGTTGGGAGAGGGTCTAGGATGCGAGCCTGTGTCTGGATGTGGCTCCTGCCGGGAGTGGGGGGAGCAGGTGTGTATGTATTGGGAAGGAACGATGGTGGGGGTGGGGCAACCAAGCAGGGATGGCAGGACCGTGTGTGTCACTGGGAAAGCAGGGAGGGAGGGTGGACCAGGCGGCAGGGAGAGTGAATGAACACTCGCATTTGCATTTCTCCCAGGAATAAATGTGTGGGGTGGGAGGGGGGAAATCGCCTAGGCTGGCTGTGGGGGCGGAGGGCCTCTGGCTGCAAAGCCCAGGCTTTGGAGAGAAGAGGGAGGCATACAGCCCGCCAAATGTGCCATCTGCCTCCTGGGTGCCCTCCAGGATCCAGGACTATCTTTCCCTCCACCCAGCAGAGCCTCTGATGGTGTCTCTCCCCAGGTGGGGGGCTGCCAGGGGTACAGGAACATGCTCTTCTCTGGTGACCAGGCTCTTGGGCCGAGGGAAGCCCCCTCTCACACCAGCTGGTGCCCAGGAACACAGCAAGCCAAATGCTGCCCTCATGGGCCAGGCTATTAGATCTGCCTCTTCACCTCGTGTGCCAGGGCAGAGATGAGTTGTGCCAAGCCATCTGCTCTGAGGGCCTGGAAACATATGGACTCAGGATTCCTGGGGAAGAAGGTGGAAATAGGGAGGGTCATATGAACTAAAGAAAACTCTCTAACCCCACAGTCAAAAAATCTAGGCATTGGTCCTGGCTCAGTGTGACCTAGGGCAAGTCATGTCACCTCTTTGGGCCTCACTTTCCTCATCTATACCACAAGGATTTGGACTAGATCTTTAGGGGGGCTCACAGCTGGAATTCAGTATCTGGATGGTGGGAAGGAGTAGGGAACAAGAGAGTCACTGAGAAACCTGGGTGGACGCCGGGGCACAGGCTGGCCGAAGCTGGAGGAAGACTCTTTAACCACCCCACAGCTGCCTTCAGCAAGGACTTGCTTGGCAGCCTGCTAGAGGCACCAAGGAAAGGGGAGTGCTTCCAGATAAATGCCATTGGCCTTCTGTATCTGTGGGTTCCACATCCATGGATTCAACCTACTGCAGATTGAAAATATTCAGAAAAAAAAATTCACAACGTTCCGAAAAGGAAAACTTGAATTTACTGTGTGCCAGTACTGTGTGGAAGCCATGTGAATGGAGTGAGGTGTAAGCCTTGTGTTTGGTGCTATAGGTAATCTAGAGATGATTTAAAGTACACACGAGGATGTGTGTAGGTTATATGCAGATTCACCATTTTATATAAAAGACCTCAGCATTTGTGGATTTGGTATCCACAGGATGTGCAGAACCAATCCCCCATGGTTACTGAGGGACGACTGTACCTCTCTGAGGGTTGGGGAGAGGATACTTCCCAGGCCCCCGAGGACTCTACACAATGTCTTCTGGTGTTTATGATCCTTTCTAGGGCCCACCTCCCAATTTCCATTTGGTTTCCTCCTAGCAGATTTAGAGAATTTCCCGTATCCTCATGAGCATCATCTGTGAACTTGAAGTTGGCATTCAAATCTTATCACATCCCCCATATACCTTCTCTTTGAACCACCCAGGCCTGCAGCTCCTGCCTCTGGTGATTTTGTTCAATTATGGTCTCTGTGCTGGCACTCTAGGTGGGGGTGAAGTGCCTCAGTTCCACCTCGTTTTATCTTTGGATTCTGGTTATGAAGTGAAGCCTCATCACTCTCTGGCTGGAGAAAGAAGCTGGAAAGACAAGCTCTATCTCTCCACATCCCCCAACTCCAGCCTTCTCTGAGGGCTCAGAATATGAGGGATGGGGACCCTTCCTTGCGGGAGATGGCACTGCCTGTTCCTCAAAGATGTGGCCTTATCAGGAGGGTGGGTGAGGAAAAGAAAGAAGGAGCTGACAGAGTAAGAAGAGAGACAGCAGGAGCTGGAGGTGGGGGGTGAAGTGGAAGGCAGGGGGAGAATTCCCTTTCTTCAAGCACAGGAATGGGGCAGAGGACCCCCTGAGGAAAGAGGAGGGGAAACAGCTGGACATCAGAAGGAATGAGAAGTCTGATTGGTCACAGGCCTGGCCAACTCCTTGCCCTCCCCTGGGCACCACTGTCTAACCCAAGCCCCAGTTCAGACTGCCTCCACCAGAGTCCCCACCTTTCTGGAAGCTGCAGGGCTCTCCATCCAGGATCCAGAAGCATTGAAGGGGTAAGGTTCAAGGTTTGAGGCCTCTGGCCCATCGGTATGCAAATGAGGGCAAAGTGTTTGGCTGGGGCAGGGGATTGGGCAGGAAAAATGAAGAGAGTTTAGGCCTCTGGCCAAAGAAGTTGGACAAGACTTCTGAGTGGGCAGTAAACTGTCTTAGAAATTTTTTTTTAAGATTATATAATTCGTTTGGGGTGAGGTATGGGAGGTAAGGTGAAGAAATACCTCTTGCTACTGCTGGGGGCTTGCCCCCTTGCCCAGCTGAAATTAAGAAAGGCAGGGAGGTTAACTGGGTATGGTAACACATGCCTGTAGTCTCAGCTACTCGGGAGGCTGAGGCAGGATTGCCTGAGCCCAGGATGTTAGGGCTGCAGTGAGCTGTGATCATGCTGTAACACTCCAGCCTGGGCAACAGAGTGACACCTTGTCTTAAAAATAGAAAATAAAATTAAAATTAAAAATTAAAAATTAAGATTTTAAAGAAAGAAAGGGGGAGAGCCTACTAGAAACTTGTGCAGCTAGCTTTGGGGAGGGCTGTGTTAAGCCTACACTGGGGATGACTGTGGTATACACTTACGCCTGGATACAACACCACACCACATGCATTTCCTGACTGGTCTATACATATACGAATTACATGAACATGTGTACTCACATGCATATCACACACATACGCAGGCATCTGTGCACACACACAAATGCACACAGGTATCTAAGGAACTTTCCAGATGCATACACACTCACGCAATCACACACACAGATCTCTTTTTTTTTTTTTTTTTCTTTTTTTAAGCTGGAGTCTTGCTCTGTTGCCCAGGCTGGAGTGCAGTGGCACCATCTTGGCTCACTGCAACCTCTGCCTCCTGAGTTCAAGCAATTCTTCTGCCTCAGCCTCCTTAGTCGCTGGGATTACAGGCACCCACCACCACACCCGGTTCATTTTTGTATTTGTAGTAGAGATGGGGTTTCACCATGTTGACCAGACTGGTCTCGAACTCCCGACCTCAGGTGATCCACCCACCTCAGCCTTCCAAAATGCTGGGATTACAGGCATGAGCCACCACACCCAGCCAGAACTCCTGTACCTGTAATAATCTGTTTCTAAAAAACTGCATTTACAAGTATATTTCATAAACTAACATTCTTTTTTACATTGTAGGTTGCATTGTAAGTCCAACATACAATGTAAAAAAGAATGTAATGTAATGTAAGTCCGTGTCTCCTAAAGAGACTAGATGCTCCTAGGAAGGGCTGTGCCTTATTCATTCTGTACCCACAGAGGCAAGTCCTGTGCCTGGAACTCAATAGACACCCATAAATGTTTGTTGAGCAAATGCAAGAAGAGATGATCTTTATAAAAACCCACAAGATTCAACTGGGCGTGGTGGCTCACACCTGTAATCCCAGCGCTTTGAGAGGCTAGGGCAGGTGGATCACCTGAGACCAGCCTGACCAACATGGTGAAATCCCTTCTTCACTAAAAATTCAAAAATTAGCCGGGCGTGGTGGGTGCCTGTGATCTCAGCTACTCGGGAGGCTGAGGCAGGAGATTCACTTGAACCTGGAAGGCAGAGGTTGCAGTGAGCCAAGATAGAGTCACTGCACTCCAGCCTGGGCAACAAGAACGAAACTCCACCTCAAACAAACAAACAAACAAAAAGACCCCATAAGATTCTTTGATGTTGGCATTCTCTGAATCGAGCTTAGTGACCAGCAGTCATGTTCTGAGCATGGGGTTAAGAGAGGACATCTGTGTGCATGCACCAGTGTGTGCCTGGTTTGTAGACAAGGGGACTCTTGTGAATGTGTCTGTGTTGAGATGTGTCTGCACATGCCTCTGTGAGTGAATATCAGTGTTTGGGTGAGAGTGTGAAAACATTCAAGTGGGGCAGTGGTGGGCGGGGACTGCTAGGAGATACCCCCCAAGACATAGTCCCAGCTGGTAGGGAGTTTGTGCATGTGATGAGGGCACTGAGTCTGCAAGTGTGGGAGTGGGAAGTGGGGTAAATCTTCCAGCCGTTCCCACAACCCTCTGGAGAGCCTGCCCCTCAGATCGCTGCCCTTCCTCCTGCCCACTTGCCAGGGACCTGCCGCTGAAGGGATTCTCATTCCCATCCAACTCCCCATGAGGCTCCTGGCTTTCCTGAGTCTGCTGGCCTTGGTGCCGCAGGAGTCAGCGGCAGCTTCTCTCCCAAGGAAGGAGAGGAAGAGGAGAGAGGAGCAGATGCCTAGGGAAGGCGATTCCTTTGAAGTTCTGCCTCTGGGGAACGACGTCCTGAACCCAGACAACTATGGTGAAGTCATTGACCTGAGCAACTATGAGGAGCTCACAGACTATGGGGACCAGCTCCCCGAGGTGAGGGACACAGGAGACCGACTCATTCCCTGCATGACACTGGGAGTCAGAGGCCCGGGCCCTCCCACCTGCCCCATAGTATGGGTGTCTCAAGCCTCCACCTCTTTCTCTATGAGGTGGAAATTCTTATCCCTCCATAGGGATTTGTCACTTAGATGATACTAAGAAAGAGGACACAAACCTGGGACTACTCCTTCTTCAGAAGTCATACATCCCTCCCCCTGCCGTCAAGTAGGACCCAAAGCCGTGTCTCACTGGGGGAGGGGTTCACAATGTCCTCATCATATTCTCTAGGAAATAAAAGTGCCACATCCCCCGTCTCTTTTCTGAAACTGTCCTCCAGTCTGAAGTTCTTTCCTAGGCCCTCTTGGCCTTCACTGCAGCAGCATGGGGTGCAAGCCCAGAAGCCCCCATTCGATTGCTGCATGAGCCTGGTCGGTGTGGAGCAGGGGAAGAGCGCCAGCCTGGGAAATTGGGAGAGCAGGTTCCATCTCTGCCTTGACCACCGGCTGGCTCTTTAATTCTCATCCCTGTCCTCTCCGGGCCTCAGTTTCTTCATCCATAGGATGGACATGCTGGACCTGATGCTCTCTCAGGTCCCCTTTTCGCACAGTCTTTCTGCTATCCCTTCCCCCTCCTTCTCCACAGTGACTTTTTGCCAGTTTGAAATCCATCACTGAGGTTCCCAGGGTCCAAAGTTAAGTCCCTTCCAGGTAAAAGCTGGGTTACTGTGTACTCTGTGCTACATCTCCAGGTTAAGGTGAATAGCTTCGCTCCCGCAACCAGGATCAGTCCTGCCAAGAGCACTACAGCTCCAAGGACACCCTCATCAAACCCCACGATGACCAGACCTACTACAGCGGGGCCGCTACTGAGTTCCCAGCCCAACCATGGTAAGTGCACAGTCACATGGTCACAATATCCCTAGGTCATAGGCCAAGCAGCTATGACCCAGCACCAGGGGTACCAAAGTGGAACGTGGTCAGTGTTGGGACGTGGAGGGTCAGGGCTACCCTTACTAGCAGAGAGAGGAGGGGAAATAGCCACAGTAAGAACAGGAAAAAAGAAATCAAAGACAGGCACTGGCTGTCCCTAATACTTTTGCCTGAATGTACAAGTTAAGTAAGAAACAAAGAATGCAAGAACTCCCTTATGCCCTAGCAAAGCCACCCTGCCTTAATTAATAGCATGACAGGGGAAGCAGGTTGAGTGGTAATTAGATCAGAGACAATTAAAAACCTGTAGAGAAGAATAACTAACTTTGTGGCTGCCACTTGGCGTGGGAGCAAATGAAGCAGTCACACTGCTTTTCAGCTTCAAAGTCCCTCTTCAGCAGCTCCCTTTCCTTTCCCGATGCCCTCCTGGAGGCTGGAGCTGGCATTCCTGGCAGTGAGGCCTCGGCACTCTGCTGGCAGTCAGAAGTGGGTAGAGGAAGGCTGAAGTTCATTCTGGACCTGCTTGCCCCCAGCTTCCCTGTTCGATTCTTGGGATGTTTGCCTTGGGTGGACCGGGAGTATTGGGGCATCGGTAGGAAAACCATTCAGTCAGGAATCCATGACCTCTCAGAGCTACAGTCTCAAGCTTAAAGAGGCCGTAAAGGGCCTCAGCTGAACCCTTTCACAGCCTCAGGGTAAGAAAGATGCTGGGGCCCCTCTGCTCCACCCAATCCTCCTGGTCACTGCTGGCAGAGAAGAGCTCCTTAATCTTGGGGCTGTGTCACTGCCACCAGAGTTCTTCCTTGAGTTGAGCTAAACTGGTCTCTCAGTAATTTCTGTGCCTTGTGACAGCAGGTGACAGAAACCACCTGCACTATTCAGTTGTATGATCCAATAAAGTCTCCCCAACTATTTGGGGTGGGTGACCTGGCCTAACCTCATGACCCCTGGGTACAAAGACAGGGTTATGGACAGAACAGGAGAGGGCTACTTCCCAAAGAAAAATTGGCATGCTGATGCCATAAGAAGGGGAAGTGGATGCTGAGTGGGCATTGTGCTCTCCACCTTGGTTCTATTGTGCTTCTTGGAGCCACACAGAACATATCTAATTTCTCTTCCCCAAGGCAGATGGCAGAGCCAGCAACCACTGGCCATCTCACTTAATTCTGGCTTCACTTTTTGGGACCAGAGAGGAATCCTATGGAAAAGAGACCAAGGGATGTCCTAGAAATACCCACATAGGCCCAGGAAAATGTACACAGAACGAGGGTCTGCTGAAAGTATAAATGGGTTTAGACTAGGTAATAACTGAGGGTGGACGTGCCTCTCTGGGGTCGAGGACAGAGTGACAGGCTGGGAGCAGCCAACAGCACTGAGTACATGGTGCCTGTCAGTTCTGGGCAGCAACCCATAGGCTATCAAAAAGGCACAGATGGCCATGGTTCAGACACTCCCTGGGGCAAGGGCCATTGGCCCCAGAGGCTGAAGAGATCTCCCTTTGTTTTGTCTTTCACCTGGGCCAGGTCTGCCCACCTGCCTGGTCTGCGTGTGTCTTGGTTCCTCTGTGTATTGCGATGACATTGACCTAGAGGACATTCCTCCTCTTCCCCGGAGGACTGCCTACCTGTATGCCCGCTTCAACCGCATCAGCCGTATCAGGGCCGAAGACTTCGAAGGGCTGAGTATGTAATGGCCTGGGAAAAGATGAGTGGGGGCAGGCATAGGAAGCCACCCTGCCACTAGAACAGTCACCAACACTGGGTTAACTCTTTCCTGTTGGTTCTCAGTCCATCCAGCTGTCAAAGGGAAATAGCCTGAAGTCTCTAGAAGTCCCTTCCTTGAAGTGTTTAGATGGTGGAAGGGACCTATTTTTATTTGCTCTCCAAAAAGGTCTGGGAAGTTGGGAGGGGAAGGTATGATCTGCCAACATCTTCAGGATGTCCCAGCAATGACAGCTGTGTGATCAGCTGGCCTCTGGGCAGGACTGTCTTAAATCTACTCTCCATGGCACTGATGCTGTTTACAAGGTTGTTTGTGTGCTTTTTGCTTCTTTATGCCCTATGCCCTGCTTGAGACAGGAGACCTGGGCTCTGATCCCGATTCTACCACTAATTACCCAGAGCCTTTCTGGGCCTCAGCGCCCTTCTGTGTAGACTCACAAGTGGAGGTGAGGTGGATCCAGGGATTCCTGGGCCTGTTGATTCTCGCTCTCAAGAGACTTCTAAAGGATCCAAGGTGGGCGGCCACCGCACAGGACAGGATTCCAGGGAGGGGCACTGAGGCATCTGAGGGCTTTTCCAAGGAGTCCTGGTTTATGTTATTTTCTCTGGTTTGGGCTAGTGCAGGTGGAGAGCTGGTTACAATCCCCTCATCTTGAGAGGGATGGAGCAAGGTGTGGAGATAGCTCCATTCTGGGCAAGGAAAGACAGCGTGTTCTGGTTCATCTCTTTGTTCTCCCCCAACCTCTCTCAGCAAAGTTGAAGAGGATTGACCTCTCCAGCAACCTCATTTCCTCCATCGATAATGATGCCTTCCGCCTGCTACATGCCCTCCAGGACCTCATCCTCCCAGAGAACCAGCTGGAAGCTCTGCCCGTGCTACCCAGTGGCATTGAGATCCTGGATGTCCGCCAAAATCGGCTCCGGAGCTCGGGGATACAGCCTGTGGCCTTCAGGGTGAGTTGAGGCCTTAGGTCCACTATCTATCACCTCCACCACCCACCTTCACCCACCACCACCCACCTCCACCCACCAACACCCACCTCCACCTCCACCACCCACGTCCACCACCACCACCCACCTCCATCCCCACCACCCACCTCCACCACCACCACCCACCTCCATTCCCACCACCCACCTCCATCCCCACCACCCACGTCCACCACCACCACCCACCTCCATCACCACCACCCACCTCCATCCCCACCACCCACCTCCACCATCACCACCCACCTCCATCCCCACCACTCACCTCCATCCCCATCACCCACGTCCACCATCACCACCCACCTCCATCCCCACCACCCACCCCACCACCACCACCACCTCCATTCCCACCACCCACCTCCACCCACCACCCACCTCCATCCCACCACCCACCTCCATCCCCACCACCCACGTCCACCACCACCACCCACGTCCACCCCCACCACCCACCTCCATCCCCACCACCCACCTCCACCACCACCACCCACCTCCATCCCACCACCACCTCCACCACCACCACCCACCTCCACCCACCACCTCCACCCCACCACCCACCCCACCTCCACCCCCACCTCCACCCACCCCCCCACCCACCCCACCTCCACCACCACCCACCTCCATCCCCACCACCCACTCCACCACCACCACCCACGTCCACCCCCACCACCCACCTCCATCCCACCACCCCCCACCCCCACCCCCTCCACCACCCCACCCACCCCATCCCCACCACCCACCTCCACCACCACCACCCACCTCCATCCCCACCACCCACCTCCACCACCACCACCCACCTCCATTCCCCCACCCACCCCCACCCCACCCCCCCCCCACCCACCTCCATCCCCACCACCCACGTCCACCACCACCACCCACCTCCATCACCACCACCCACCTCCATCCCCACCACCCACCTCCACCTCACCACCCACCTCCATCCCACCCCACCTCCATCCCTCACCCACGTCCACCATCACCACCACCTCCATCCCACCACCCACATCCACCATCACCACCCACCTCCATCCCCACCACCCACCTCCACCATCACCACCCACCTCCATTCCCACCACCCCTCCATCCCCACCACCCACGCCACCCCCACCACCCACCTCCATCCCCACCACCCACGTCCACCACCACCACCCACCTCCATCACCACCCCCACCTCCATCCCCACCACCCACCTCCACCATCACCACCCACCTCCATCCCCACCACTCACCTCCATCCCCATCACCCACGTCCACCATCACCACCCACCTCCATCCCCCCACCCACTCCCCATCACCACCCCCTCCATCCCCACCACCCACATCCACCATCACCACCCACCTCCATCCCCATCACCCACATCCACCATCACCACCCACCTCCATCCCCACCACCTACGTCCACCACCACCACCCACCTCCATCCCCACCACCCACGTCCCACCACCACCCACCTCCATCCCCACCACCCACCTCCACTCCCCCACCCCCACCACCCACCTCCACCCCACCACCACCCACCTCCACCACCACCACCCACCTCCATCCCACCACCCACCTCCATCCCCATCACCCACGTCCACCATCACCACCCACCTCCATCCCCACCACCCACGTCCACCACCACCACCCACCTCCATCCCCACCACCCACCTCCACCACCACCACCCACCTCATCCCCACCACCCACCTCCACCTCACCACCCACCTCCATCCCCACCACCCACCTCCATCCCCACCACCCACGTCCACCATCACCACCCACCTCCATCCCCACCACCCACATCCACCATCACCACCCACCTCCATCCCCACCACCCACCTCCACCCCCACCACCCACCTCCACCCCCACCACCACCCACCTCCACCACCCACCTCCATCCCCACCACCCACCTCCACCATCACCACCCACCTCCATCCCCACCACCCACCTCCATCCCCACCACCCACGTCCACCATCACCACCCACCTCCATCCCCACCACCCACATCCACCATCACCACCCACCTCCATCCCCACCACCCACGTCCACCACACCACCCACGTCCATCCCCCACCACTCCCCACCCCATCCCCCCCACCCCCCCTCCCCCACCCCCCCACCACCACCCACCTCCACCACCCACCTTCACCCCTACCACCACCAGCACCCACCTTCACCCCTATCACCACCACCATCCACCTCCACCACCCACCTGCACTCACACTACACACTTCCACCACCACCACCCACTGTTTTCATCCTTTTAAATTTGCTATTTATTGATTCTTTCAGTTGCAAGAAACTGATTCTGACCCAAGAAAAGGAGATCCCAAGAACCTCCATGAATGGAAATAGCACTATTAGGCCTAATGGGCCTGTTACTGGCTGAGTAACCCTAACCTGAAATCCAGAATCCAAAATGCTCCAATAAGCATTTCCTTTGAGCATCTTGTTGACATTCAGAAAGTTTTGGGTTTTGGAGCATTTTGGATTTTGGATATTCAGATTTGGGATCTCAACCTGTACTGGGAATGGGGGTTCAGAAGTCAAGGTGGACAGCTCTCTCCCTCTTTGGGGCACAAGGCCTCTTGTCTTGGCTTCTTTCTGTGCATCTGCTCAATTCACCTGTCTGCTCACCAGCGTCCTCTGCACACTCACAGGTTCTGCTCCCTGAAAACTTACACATGAGTTTGGCTTGGAATAGTGCTGATTCTGGCCCTAACTCTACATATCCTTTTATTTCCAAAACCTGCCACTAAGTGACTGATTAATCATTGTCTTTCTATGATCAAATGCTCAAGAGAGACTTTTTTGTTGTTGTTTTGAGACAGATCTCGCTCTGTCGCCCAGGCTGGAGTGCAGTGGCATGATCTCGGCTCACTGCAACCTCTGTCGCCCATGTTCAAGCAATTCTCCAGCCTCAGCCTCCTGAGTAGCTGGGATTACAGGAGGCACCACCATGCCCAGCTAGTTTTTGTATTTTTAGTAGAGATGGGGTTTCACCATGTTGGCCAGGCTGGTCTCAAACTCCTGACCTCAGGTGATCTGCCCACCTTGGCCTCCCGAAGTGCAGGGATTGCAGGCGTGAGCCACTGCACCTGTCCAAGAGAGACTATTTGATTGGTCATTGGCTGGCCAGTTTTGATGGGAAGGGCTAGGTTATATGACACAAATATGCCCCCTGGGGCGGCCCTTTCAATAGGGCTAGGAAGAGCCCCAGGTATGTTCGCCCGTGTGCTCTCTCTCTCTGTCTGTCTGTCTCTCAAGTAGTAGAATCTTTTATGCAATCTAATTCCTATTTAGAAGCATCGAATAAACCAAATTAGACTTGTATTTTTGAAATAGGATGAGGGCACAGAGGCACACCTGCTTGCTCTCTCGCCCCGCCCTCCCCAGTGCCTTCCACCCTCTCAGCCTTCTCCTGTCTACAGTGGTCTTTGAGGGAATTTTACAGAACACAGTGTCACTACCACTGTTGTGGTGGAAGAGCACTAGACTGGGATCAGAAGCCTGCCACGTGACCTCGGGCCTCAGTCTTTCGGTCTCTAAGAACGGGATTGCATGATCCCTGAAGTTCCCCACTGCTCAGCCTCAGCAACATCCCAGCTGTCTCCATATTAGGGGCTGCCGCTTTGCCTTGACTCAGAGCTGTTTTCTCAGCCCAGGATAAGGCCTGGGCTTGGGAGCCACAGAGACCTGGGTTTGTGTGAGAGTCACCCAACCTCTCTGACCTTGTTTTCTCATCTACAAAATGAGGGTAATAATACCTGCTTGACACAGCTGCTGGAGGGTTAAATAAGATCGCATTTACAAAGAGAACAGGAGGGTTAGATATGCATAGCAGATGCTCCATAAATGGTAGCTATCATTTTTCTTTGCTCCCTGAGCCCTGCTGAAGGCTTGTCTCTTCCCAAACCCTTCTCTGATTAACACTGTCTGATTCCGAGAGCGCAGTCCCATGCACACGCTGTGTGCCTCTCTGTGCCTGCGGTTCTCATTCTAATAGTCTAGCTGTCTCCCGAGTGTCTGCTCCGTACCTGCTCCTCACCCAGAGCAAGGACAATAAACAGAGCATGGAGGATGGAAGTTAGATACCAGGGAGCAGGTGATGCCAGTGAGAGGTATGAGACTTACGCAGCTCTGGGGTCTCCTTTATTGGAGGGTTTATTGGAGACACTGATTGGGAGGTCTTGTCTAGATAATTGTCCATGGCCCCAGGTTTAGCATTTGGAGACTTGTCATTGGGGAAAGTCCCTTCTGATAGCAGAGAAGTTGAGGCAGAGCTGAAATGTCCCCTGGTCCTCCCTTCTACCCTGTCCCTGCCCCTCCCCTGCACCACCCAGTGTCATTACCAGCTGATTAATTCTTTCCTACTTCAGTGGCTGGCACCTCAATGGTAGCAGCTTTCCTCCTGCATCCAGTTGGAGTTAGTGTCTGTAAGCTCCTTAAAGACCTGGGCAACCCCTGTGGCACCCAGCACAGAGCCTGGTGCATGACTGATGCTAAGTGAGCCCCGAGTGAACAAATGTCTCTGGCCTCATAGCCATCCTCACTGCCAGGGTCCAACATGTTGGACCCACCAGCCTCCTACACTCTGTTTTCTCCCAGGCAATGGAGAAGCTGCAGTTCCTTTACCTGTCAGACAACCTGCTGGATTCCATCCCAGGGCCTTTGCCCCTGAGCCTGCGCTCTGTACACCTGCAGGTAAGGAGCCTCACCCAGAGCAAGGGTGATAAACAGCATGGAGGATGGAAGTTAGATACCATGAGCAGGTCGTGGCAGTGAGAGGCATGAGGCTTAGGCACCTGTGGGGTCTCCTTGATTGGAGGGTTTATTGGAGACAAGAATTGGGAGGTCTTGTCTAAATAGTTTTCCATGACCCCAGTTTGATTTTCTCCATTTTTTATTTTAAAAACACTTTCTCTCCCTCCATCGCTTTATTTTATCTCACCCAACTGCTTTTCCTTCTTTCTTTTTCCTACCCTCTGTCTCTTTCCTTCCCTTCAGTCCTTCCCTCCTTCCTCTCTGCCCTTCTCTTCCTCTTCTTCTGTGCCCTCTCTCTCCATCCATCCCCCCTGGGGCTCCTCTTCTCACCCTTGTTGTGTGGCTTTGGCCCTAGATGCTTCAGTTTCTCCAGTTGCACCAGAGCAGGCAGAGCTGGTAGGGACAGCTGATGTGAGCCTTTGGTGCTGCTTAAGGGGCAGATCGTCTTGGTGGGGCTCAGCTGGTGTGTGTTCTTCCCAGAATAACCTGATAGAGACCATGCAGAGAGACGTCTTCTGTGATCCCGAGGAGCACAAATACACCCGCAGGCAGCTGGAAGACATCCGCCTGGACGGCAACCCCATCAACCTCAGCCTCTTCCCCAGCGCCTACTTCTGCCTGCCTCGGCTCCCCATCGGCCGCTTCGTCTAGCTCAGAGCCCTTCCACTCCTCCCAGGTAAGAGGCCTCCAAGGACCATGCAGGCATGGGCCTCCAGCCATAAAGCCCAATATCTTTCAACAGTGATCTTTAGCCCAGGCATTAATTGACCTCTTAATCCCTTGCAAAAATCACACACACGTACATGCATGCATGCACACACACACTCATGTACTGAAATGTCTTTCAGCAGCCAAATTTGCATTTCTTCATCTTCTTTCCTTGACACTTATGGCTCCTGGCTCAGAAAATAGCAATGTCTGCAGTGGAGCACTTTTCCATATTCCCCATCTCTCGTACCCACACAGAATGCCAAGAAAGCCGTGGGAGAGGAAGAGGGGGAGGAGGAAGAGAAGGAAGAAGGGGGGAAGAGGAGAAGCAGTGATATGCTGGAGCCAGCTCTTACTACTTGCAGGAACCGATTATTAAATTTTCCAGAATTTTGCAAGTCAGTTGTTAAACACAGCCATTATGAAAAATTAAATTATATAAACTCACAATTAAATATATTATATTGAAAACAAATGTAATAATTATTCAAAAATCATCATTTTTCAATTAGTTCACTATATTTCACTATTAACCATGCCCTTGAAGTTATTTCTGTCCTGGTATCTGTATGGGGGAACCTCTAGGTAATGGTGTGCTCCTCGGATCTCTTCCAGCTCCCCATTCAGTGACATCACATTGGTGGTTTAAAATTGGCCATGGTAGGGGTATTTACACTACAGAACTTGGTAAACGCTACAAATTGAGATTTCCTTTTTTGAGAGCTGACTATAAAATGTTTGCCTGCATACCACTGAGGAGAAAGAATAGCTACTTAAACCAGCTCCCTCTACCCGCACGCCATCCTACTGGGGTAGATAGGGTTTCTATAGGGCATTCCTTCATTTCGTGCTCTTCTGAAGCCAGGGCCTCCTGTTAGATTTGGAGGGAGCCATTCATAAGGATGGAGAACTGACATGAATCTTCACCCAGACGCGCTTCTTGTAGCACTTACCTACTCCCTGGCTCACTGGCCAGTCTCTGAGCATGGAGGGCTCAGCCAGCTCATTCCTGGCTACTGGGGTTTCCATCCTTCCCATTTGCTCCTGCATGTTCGACCACCAGAGGGCAGCCTTGTGCAAAGATAAATATATAAAAATAGCAATTACTCACCTTCTGCCTTTTGGATCCTGGGCAGGGGCTGCTATGCTGGGAGGATGGGAAGAAGGGCAACTATCATGTAGCCAATGATTTGTTCCTTGAGTTAGAAGGGAGAGGAGATGCTACCCTTCTCCTCACCCTTATAAGGAGGTTTTGGGCAAGGGGAATGTGATGGATGGGCGCTTGGCCTCACGCCTCATGTCAAGGCATGAGAGAGGGATAAGGCAGGGAATTCACCTACTCATGCAGGAGGATCTTATGGAGCACCCACTGCTACGTGGTAATAAGATGGTGCACAACAGAAACATATTCCTTTTCCTCACAGAGCTTAGAATGTAGTGCAAAAGACAGGTGTGAAACAAGCACACTAATAACCACGCTATTCAACTCGTAAAAGTGCTATAAAGGGTATGTACAGAATGCTACAAATGCTTACAAGAGGAAGACCCAGCTTAGGGGTCCAGAAGATCTTGGAGAACTGACGTTTAAGCTGAAACCCAAAGAGTGGGAGTTAGCCAGGCAATGAGTTGCCAAGGCAACTATTCAAGGTCCCTGGTGGTCCCCGAGTCAGGAGGGGCAGGTGTTTCTTGTGGGCTACGTGGAAAGGAATTCAAGTATCTGCCTCCCGCCACCTCTGTCTGGCACCTCACTGTGCACTTGGATCCTCACGGCGGTCCTGTAAGCAGCCAAGTCAGAAATTATTATTCACATTCTTCAGATGGAGACATGGAGAACTAGAGACCAGTCACTGACCCCAGCTCACACGGGTGACTCCGAGTTGGACCAGGACTCAACACACAGGCTACAGACTGCCAATGGGAAGTCTTGAAGGTGGTGGGAGGTGCCTTCATGCCATCGTGGTACCTGCCTTCACTCCTAGGGAATCTAGGATTCCAGCGCACCTAGCCCCAGGGGAGGACGCGGAAGGCAGTGAGCCGAGGGCCCCTTGCCTTTCAGAGCAGCAGAGCTGTCACTGGCCCTTCCTCTCCTTTGTCTCCTCTTTCTGTCTTCCAAGAGTATGTTACAGCGAAATCTGTGTGTGTGTGTGTGTGTGTGTGTGTGTGTGTGAGTGTTTTCTGTTTCTCTCTCTCCCTTTCTCTGTTTCATCCACCAATCCTATCCCCTTCCATATCCAATATCCCATTCCATATCCTGCTTTATTGGATTATGGCAAGGCCTAGGGATGCAACAGCTGAAAGCCTAAAGTTCTCCAAATGTAAGAGACCCTGGATTGAGGAATCCAATTTTCTTTTTTTCTTTTTCTTTTTTTTTTTTTTGAGATGGAGTTTCACTCTTGTTGCCCAGGCTGGAGTGCAATGACGTGATCTTGGCTCACCACAACCTCCTCCTCCCGGGTTCAAGCAATTCTCCTGCCTCAGCCTCCTGAGTAGCTGGGAATACAGGCATGCACCACCATGCCTGGCTAATTTTGTATTTTAAGTAGAGACAGGGTTTCTCCATGTTGGTCAGGCTGGTCTCGAACTCCTGACCTCAGGTGATCTGCCTGGCTCAGCCTCCCAAAGTGCTGGAATTACAGGCGTGAGCCACCACTCCTGACCGAGGAATCCAATTTTTTAAAAAATCCAATTAAAAAAAAAGGTTTTCTAGAACTGGGGCTTTTGGGTACTGGAAGCCACATCATTCCTACATGCCTCTCAGTTACTCTTTGCTGAGTACAGAAAGTCACCTGGCTCCTGCTCTATTGTGGGACAGGGGATCTAACAATCCCTGGACTCCTGGAGTTTGCCAGACCTATAATAGAAGCTTTTCTGTGCATCAACTCATTTAATTCCAGCAACAACCCTAGTGAATAGGGATGCTCATCTCGACTGCACATGAAGAAACAGGCTTCTGAAAGGGGAGTGGCCCAAACCCAAACAGCGAGAGAGTGGCAGAGCTGGGATTCAATCCTGGGTCCATCCAGCCAGAGTCTGAAGTCCTGCTCTCTGCCACACTCCAGTGCAGACACCACTTTCAAGTTCCAATTAAAGGAGGCCGGCTCCAGACAGTTTCTTTCCCGAGGCCATTGTTGCTACTCCGGGAGGGGTTCCCCAAGGGCCACTGCCTCTGCAGCTGTCTCTTGGCTAATCCCCCATTTTTGGCTAGGGAAGCCCAAGGAAGAGAAAGAATGTCCTTGTTGGCTGTCTCCCTGAAGAAATTCTAAACAGAGCATCTGTCCCTCTGCACCAGGGAGGGAGGGAGGAAGAGAGAGATGGGGAGAGACAGAGAGAGAGAAACCCCACAGCTGTTGCTTCTTGATCTTGATGTGAACAGCTAGGCCTCCTGTTTCTCGGGGACCTAAAGGGGTTAGGGTTGGGCAACTGGTAGGGAAGGCAGAGAGCACCTCTTTAGCCAGAGTGAGGCCCTCCTATCCTGCAGATGGTAAAGATGGAGAGAATGACACAGGGCAGATGCAAGCCAGACCTGAGAGAGTACAAAGGAAGGGAGAGAGAGGAGGGGCTGTGGGGTCCAGCCAGGCATGGCAGGCAGCTTGAGGGCCTCATGCCAGCCGGCAGTCTAGGTTTGCATCAAATCCACCTCCTCCAACACCAAACTTTCCTAACCTGACTCATCCAGGTCCTTCGTGGCCCAGCAGCACTCATATTTGACCTTGGCAGGAGCACTTGCTCTGGGAGGCACTCTCGTGACTATTCTGCCAGCTCTGTGTGAAGGGGAGTGCCTCCCTCCTTTGGGGCACCCTGTGGCCTTCAGGAGGGTCCTGCCCTAACCCATCCTATGAGTATCAGTGGGAGAAGGTCGTGGGGAAGAGGCCAGGGCCCCTCCTCTCTGCGAGAGAAAGGATGAGTTTGCAATGACCTCCCCCGCCGACTGCCTTATTCTCAGTTCCAGGGTCCTGTTTTCCCGAAGGTTACCAGCAAGGCCCGGGGCCAGAGCAGGCTCGTGGAGAAGGGAGGGTGGGAGGGGCTGCTGGAGGGGCTGGAACTAAGTCTGTTTTAGGAGCCAAGGCCGTTTCCCCACCCTGACCTTGCCTGGGCTCCCTTCCTGCTTCCTTTTCCCTTTTTTCTCTCCCCTGGGAATAGTAATCTTTTACATTTCTGCTGTCAGTTTGCACTTCAGCAAGCTCTTTACATATGGGACCTAATTTGATAGTCCTAACAACTCTGTGAGGAAAGAATTATTATCCCTCCTTTTACTGATAGAAAATGAGAGGCTAAGTACTTTGTCCCAGAGAAAGATGACTTAACATAAACAATCTATAACAGAAAAGAAAGATGGGCATGGGGGTGGAGCTGCAGTGACAGCCAGCACTTCTTGGGAATTCTTGTCAGAGAAATGGGAAGTCCCATCTCCAGCTGCTGGAGCAGAGGATGGGTGCCCCCCACCATGACCTCTGAAATGCTTTGAAAAGCAAGGACTCGGGAGTGCATCACCCAGGCTAGAAAAATGGGGGCTGCCTATGGAACTTGAGTCCAGGGCCTGCTCCCAGCAGGATCAAGGCCTGTATCCTTAGGAAGCACATGAGGTAATGAAGGTCTCAGCCCGGGAGAACCTTGGGGCTCAAGGACACATGGCCCCCCATCTCTGTCGCACCCCCACATGCCCGTGTCTGTGTCCTCCTTCCTTCTGGCCAGGACAGAGGCAGACAGACCAGACGGGGAGGTGGCCTCAGCTCGCCCTGCCCCCTCCCTGTCTAGCTCCCTCTCAGCTTTCTCCTCCCACTTCACCTGCCCCTCCCCTCTCCCCCACACAAGACACCAGCTCAATTTTGTCTCTCCTCTCTCTCAAGGTCATCTCTGGGACCAGCGGGCATCACATTCTCCAGCAGCCGCCATTTCGCACGCCTCCCTCCTGTGGCCGCCGGCAGCGTGGACAAAAGTCTCCATGTAGAGGGAGGATGCCTGCTTCTTTCCCCACAGCTCTCACGTCTCCCTTCTCCCTGTGGGTGACAAAGAAGCCCAAGGACCACCTCCTTCCTGCCTCATTGTAATAAAATTCCCCATACTAAGGCCTTCTTGTCTTCAACCTGGCCTGTCCAGCCCTTCCAGACA